AGAGTGTGGGGGATTGCGGAGAAGCAGAAAGGGCAGCTAGCGACCTCCCCAGTAGACCAGCTCAGGCAGAAGCCGCCATGTCTTGGCTGGTCTCCCAGCAATGGAGGAATCAAGTGCCCTACAGTCTGGCTTCCTGATTTTGCTGCTTGGCTGCCTAGGGCTTCCTCCTTGTGTGACATTCAGAGAGCCACCAGGATAAGACTGAACCCTTTCTTCTTGCTTCTTTTGTATTGCTTTGGAGTTGGCTGCTCAGTATTGTGACCTCACAGGTCACTCCGGGCTAACCTATCCTGTGCTGCAGTCCCAGCCAGAATCCTGCCTTTGAAAGAAAACCCCTACCCTGTTAGGTGGCTGGGGGTTCTGTCCATGCCAGGGTCCAGTGGGAACAAAGACCCACAAGCCCAACTTTCTATTCCCTCTCTGTCCTTGCTCATCTGTTGTACTTGCTCGTCTGTTTGTCTTCTCAGCCCAGGCTCCTCTTCACAGGGGCTGTCTCCTGTCTCCTGGTGGGTCGCAATGCAGTCTACAAAACAAACATCACCTTTGGCCTCCAGCCCATGTGGGACAATGTGGGTAGCTTGTGTCTCAGGGACACTGTGCCTTCATCCCAGCTGCCCGAGGTCCCTTGTCCCAGCCCTCTTTCCCAGACCTTTTCAACAAGTTTAGAGAACCTGGCAGTGCCCCATATTAGCTGCTCTCCGCTGCAGAATAGCTTTGTCTCAGATCTGCTGTGAGGGACTAAATCAAGCCAGCCACCCCGCTGTGATTCTCTCAGCTCCCCACAGGTTTCGGTGCCAGCGTCCTTACATCGCCTGTGGGACGGAGCACCGAGCCCTTCACGTGCTTCTCAGTCCCCTCGTTTCTGCTACTACTGCCCTACTATCCCCTCTGCCAAGAAGCTAACCAAGACACCACTCCACACACTCTGTATTTTTATTCAGTTTTGTCTTCCAGCCTATTATACTGCAGACCTGATTTTGTTGTTGTTGATTAAGGTTTATCTTCAGCACTAAAATTAATCCTTCTGGAATGGGACAGGCCCACTGCCAACACTAAACAAACATTTCTCGAGGGGCTAGTGATAGGGCTCTGTAGGTAATGGCACTTGCTGCGTGTAAATCTGACAGGTGAAAGAACTGACGCTACAGACTGTCCCCCGACCTCCTTCACGTGCACACCACGGAACACACACACACACACACACACACACACACACACACACACACTGTATGTATGTATGTCTAGAAACATTTGTTAATCCAGAGATCCTAGGTAGCCCCGTGGCATTGCACACTTCCCCTAGCCATGCTGGTGCTTGGTCCACTCAGTAGAGGAACAGAACCCGCTATGGTGATGATAATGAACGAGGAGGCACACACTGACCTGGCCCCCAGGGCTGCACCAGCAGTAGCTGACGTTAGCCTTCTATTCTGTGTCAGACACATTCCAAATGATCGCCTGGACCTGGCTCCTGGGCATCTCACACACCTGCAGTGCGCCCACAGAAACCACCATGCATCCTGGAGTAAGGCAGGAGCCTGCCTCCTGCAAAAGGGTCCTGAATGCATGCTGGGACTCAGTCCCCTTCGTGTCCTATCTCACCCTCACAGTCTTGGATGCTGCTTCCCACAAAAACCAGAGCCCTCTGCTGGTCCCAGCACCCCAGCTGTCGCTCCAGAGCAGGCTATCGTCAATCCCTCTGTGCCCCTGGTTTGCCCTCGGTCAAAGGCATTAAGAAAGGAAGATGAGGCAGAGTTCTGTGTCAGCAAGTCGCAAGACAGATGGGCCCAGAACTCTTAGGGAAGGAAGTGCCCTGATCATTTAAAGGCCCACTGTCCTTTGGTGTTAATACACCACCTTCTGTGTTTCACATCTGCCGTTTTTCAAAGACGGGCATCAAATAAACACGGACTCCAGTGTGTCCTGTGCACAGCCTCTAGTCGGGGCCCCAGGGAGACATGCAGAAAAGAGAAAGGCTCCACTCACCGGCTCTCAAGCTCCCTGTCCTGTGACCTGGAGGCCAGGGAGGATCATGGGTAATGAAGACCAGCATTCTGCCTCATAAGGCTGATAAAATGCCCCCACAGGATGAGAGCATCATCTTCAGCTGATGACAGGAGACACCTGCTTGCCTAGTGCAGGGAAGAAAGGGTAATTGGTTTTGCAAAGATAAAAGACAGACTAGTGACCATTCAGCGTATGTGTCCATGAAGCAATGAAGCAGTGAGGAGGGAAAGAGGAGAGAAAACCTCAGCAGACGGACGGGGGGGCAGAGTCCCTGTAAGTGGGGACCGAAGTGTCAGCCCGCTGGGGCAGGGTACACTAGGGCCACCACTTGTGAAGAGCACAGAAGACTTTTGACTGACCACAGTCTTCACAGAGAGCCACACAGACCAGGATGGAGAGGGCTGCACAAACATTTGCCTCGGCTAACACCTCAGCTTTGTCCCGTCCTATTTGACCTGTGCTGCGTGTGGAGCCCTGAGACAAATCTAACTGCTAGGAGTTGATGCTGCCTTCTCTGCCTGACTATTCTAAGGACTTGGTGGTGCATAGAGTGCCTGTCATGTGCCTAGTGAACTTGGCAGAACATTTCAGAGAGAGGGCATTCAATAAGTGGCTAGCATTAGTAACTGACCTGCTAAAGGAATAGACTGTGAATTACTTGGGGTTTCTGGGGGGGGGCGTTGCTTTATTCCAGGGTCTCCTATAGCCCCAGGTGGCTTGAATCTCAATATGAAGCCTGGGATGACCTCAAACTTAAATCCTTCTACCTCAGCCTCCAAATGATGGATTACAAGGGTGTGCCACCACGTCCAACTGAGAACATTCTCTCTCTCTCTCTCTCTCTCTCTCTCTCTCTCTCTCTCTCTCTCTCTGTGTGTGTGTGTGTGTGTGTGTGTGTGTGTGTGTGTGTGTGTGTGTGTATGCGTGTAGGGGTAGAAATGTGGGTGTGTGCATGCCGTGCCACACACATGAGGGTGGAGGCTGGAGGCAAACTTGAGTTTCCTGGCCTGCCTTGTTTGAGACAAGGTCCCTCTTTTCGTCATTCGCTGTGGTGGATGCCAGGCTAGCTGGACAGTGAGCCTCCATTCCCTACTGTGGATGCCAGGCTAGCGGAACAGTGAGCCTCCATTCCCTACTGTGGATGCCAGGCTAGCGGAACAGTGAGCCTCTGTTTGCTGCGGTGGTGCCAGGCTAGCTGGACAGTGAACCTCCGTTTGCTGCGGTGGATGCCACGCTAGCTGGGCAGTGAGCCTCCAGACTCTCCGCCTTCAGTTTTCATCTTACCCCAGGATGCCCACTCTGGTGTCAGCTTTCCATGCCTATGGGGCAGTCAAATTCAGGTCCTTTTGCCTTCTTGGCAAGGGCACTACCCACAGAGCCATCTCCCTGGCCTGAATTGTATATTTAACAGCTGGAAGGAGCCCCTTTCCTCCCTGCACCTCTCGCCCTAGATGAGATGTTAGACCAGGTCTCTGCTTTTTAAATGAAATAATTAGGCAGTAACAAGGTCTCTGAACCTCCATACGAGGAAAGGGGTGAGTCAGCCTGTGAATGAGACTCCAGATTCGTGTGTGGTGTTGTTGAGTCTTTAAAGGACCCTCAGAATAGAAAAGACACCCTGTGCTGCTCCAGCAAGCCCGGAGATGAAAAGGGACATTAGTGGGACAGCCTCTGCTCAAAACCAGTGGAAATAGCTGGGCCTCATGAAACACGTGTTCCTATACAGTATCACGCTGCCAGTCACTGCAACAGAGAGCAAATGGTCTCCCAGAAATCTTGGATTGGCAAGTTGGCATTTGATACACACGCCTCAGTTTAATCCCTGAAACATGGTTTAAAGTGGAGGGAGAGAATCCACTCCATAAAGTTTTCCTCACCTCTATATGTATGCTCTGACATATATGTACTTCCCACACATAATAATAATAATAATAACCATGGTAATAATTGAATAAAATGTTCTAGAAGGAGATCTGAACCCAGGACCCTGGCACCCACACAAATGGGGATCTGCACCCAGCATCTGGAAGTTAGCTACAGGACTTGGCAGATTAACCTCCTTAAGTCTCATCAGTAATGCAGGGGTGATGCTACCTCAAATAACTGCCATCAGGATTAAGTCTGATCTTGTTCAAGGATCGAATGGACTGGAAAACAGGGTTTGGGGATGAGATGATAGAGCAGGATTGGGGGAGGGAGAGATCTTCATTCTGTGGCAGGGAGGGCCTTTATTCTTGGGGGGAGGTTTGGCACCTTTACTCTGTGGGGAGTAAGGTGGCAGGGGGGTCATGAGCTAGAGGGCAGGGGTGGAACCAGGGAGGTTGAGGGAGGCAGAAGAGGGCTTCACTTGGCTGGGCTTTGTGGTGTCTCTGCCTTGCCTAAGAAGCACCGCCCAGTGACAGATAGCCCTCACCCACCAGAGGTTCAGCAGATGAGCTAGGAGGGTACCTGGGGCTCCCCAGCGACAGCCAGGTACTCACACAGAGGAGTCAGCATCTAGGCAGGGCACAGCCACCAGCCAGTCCCACTGAAGGGCTGAGGCTACCCCAAGCCTGGACACTGGCTCTGTCTCTGGTCACAGAGGATACAAACTCTTATCACCTCCATTGATGAGCCTGAAAACCTCGACCTTCTATGGAGGCAGAGAACAGTCAGCGGGAGCAGGCACAGGGAGCCAGTCAGGGCCACGCTTCTCCATCTGGAAAGGGCTTTCTCCAGTGCGGACATGCGGTCGCCTCTTCCCTGGGGACCCCAGAGGACATGAGTGCAGGGAGGCAAAGAGGAGGTGGGACAATTCCCTCCGGTGACAGATATCCGGTGTGGGAGAACAGGAGGATGTGGTTCTGAAGCCAAGCCAAGGCTGCCACCCAGAGGCTCCTGAAGGAACTCCAGGACCCTTTCGTCTTTGGATGCCCTTGAACTCTGTTATTGGTCCCACCACATTTTTCCTTCTTTCTTTGTTGCCATAACCCACTGGCGTCTTCCTCCTCCAGGAATCTCAGAGAACATGGTCACACCCTCCACACCTGATCTCCAGGAAGAGAAACTGCGATCACAGCTGGAAGAGGAAAAGACCAGGTGAGCTGCCGGTTGTTTCTGTGTGTTTGGTGCCACACCCATCCTGACCCCAATTCCCCAGGACCTCCAGGTCCTACCTGAAGCCTCCCTGGGACCTTCAGCTTCCCCTTAGGAAATGGGTCTAGCCTGGAACCTCAAACGCAGGAGAGGCGAGGAATGGCCTTAAGCAAGGCCTGGGCCTGGGTAGGGAGGATGCTGAATGAGGAGGTGCCCCATCCAAATGCTTCTCATCCTGTCAACTGTGACCCCACAGGGATCACAGATCAGACAGCCTGCATTTCAGTCATTTACATTAGCAACAATGTAATTTTATGGTTGGTGGTCAGCACAACATGAGGATTAAAGGGTCACAGCGTCAGGAAGGGTGAGAACCACTGCTCTAGGGAAACCATGAAGCAGGCCTGTGGTGGGCTTTACTCCACAGCATTACCAAAGTTTACCCAGGATCTTGGGAACCTCCGGCTTTCACCCAGATACTGAGGGGTCCAAAGTGATTTTACTTACAGGGTGAGGAGATGGAGATTTCCCTGGTTAGGCTCCTTCATTCCTTTATCCTCCATGCCATGGCTGGGATCTAGAAGTCCTGAACAAGTCACCGTCCTGTCTGCAGCTACTGATGGCATCACTGCAGGAGCTCCCCAGCACATGCAAATGCAGGCCCACACACATGCACACACATACACACACACATGCACACACACACAGGCAAACATGCGCACACACACGCACACACAAACACATGCACACACACAGGCATACATGCACACATACAACATAGGCACACAAGCACACACATGCACACACACAGGCAAACATGCACACACACGCACACACAAACACACACATGCACACATACACGCACACATGCACACACACACAAATACACACACATGCACACACACACGCACACATGCACACACACATAGGCACACACTCTCCTGAGCAAAACCAACCCCAGCACCTCACTCCCTTGCAGCTTCCCCGCAAAGGCCCAAGTGTTACTGCACCCGTCTGCTGTCTTCCACACCGTGCCATTGGCGTTCTCCTCAGTTGTCCCTCTGCCCCTCAGTGTGCTAGTGCTTCTGCCACTGCTGTGGGAATGCACTGCACGGAAAGAGGAGTTTGTCTGCTAACGGTCTAAGGGTGCCGTCCGCCGTGGCAAGGAAGGCATGTGCAGAAACACGAGTTTGCTGGTCACACCACTCCAAAGTCAGAGAGCACAGATGGATGCTGGTGATCCTTGCCTGATCCTTTTATTCCATCCAGACTTCAAGTCCCTGTGCTGGTGCTGCCTGTGCTCAGGGTACATCAGCCTTGCTCAGTTAAAGCTCTCGGAAAACATGTGTCTCCTAGGTGACTCAGAATCTAGCCAAGATGACAGTGAGGACCAACTGTCCCGCCTGTCCTGAGTACATGTTCAATGAAAGGGAGTTCTCATTCTTGGAGAAGATCCCCGAGTGCCTACTGAACAGATGACCCACCCTGATCTCCCTGATGGACTCAACATCAGGTGCCATGTTCTAACCTTGGCAGACTTCTCTTAGGTGCCCATTCCTAGCACCAGGGCAGCTCTGCCGGGCTTCAAAGGCACAAACCTTCATTTCCACCACCCCCATGCTGGTGACTTCAGGCCATCAGCGCCCTGCAGCTTCTCCAATCCCACTGCAGGTACAAAACAACATTCATGCGCCTGAAAGCCTTGAAGGTGGAGATTGAGCACCTGCAGCTGCTTATGGACAAAGCCAAGGTGAAGCTGCAGAAAGAGTTCGAAGTCTGGTGGGCTGAGGAAGCCACCAATCTGCAGGTGTGCTGTGGGGACATCAGGGCATGCAGGTGGGAGGCCACCAATCTGCAGGTGTGCTGTGGGGACATCAGAACATGCGGGTGGGAGGCCACCAGTCTGCAGGTGTGCTGTGGGGACATCAGGACATGCAGGTGGGAGCTATCATGTACAAGGCTGGGGCTCTGGGAGACGGGGAGTGAGGGTTTCAGACTTCAGACCTGTGTGTGCTGAACCTAGCTCAAGAAACCAGTGCGCATCTGAGTGATAGGAACACAAGGTCAGGAGTTCAATGTCTCCTGCTCCAGGGCCTCAGCCCGCCTGACTAGTGGGAGATGACTCCAAAGCAATGACTGCTGCTTCATCTAAGATACCGTGGAGATTTCATTTGCCATTCTCTCTCTCCCTCTCCCTCTCCCTCTCCCTCTCCCTCTCCCTCTCCCTCTCCCTCTCCCCTTCCCCTCCCCCTCCCTCTCCCTCTCACTCCCTACTTTTTTTCTTTCTTTCTTTGAGGCAGCATCTCTCTGTGTAGACCAGGCTGGTCTTGAACTCAGATGCCTCCCGAGTTCCGGAATGAATGGCGTGTGCTGCCATGCCTGCCTGCTCTTTCTTATTACAGGGCCACACATACCTGCATATTAGCTCTAGAAGTTTTAGAAAACATGAAAAAGACTTTTATCTCGGCACTTAGGGAAAACCAGTATTAGCAAGTTGGCTTACGACATCTTGCATGCTTTTTCTGCACATACACCATGAATGTGTTTTTCATCATTTTGATGGAGGTGTATGTGTTTGGGGAGGGGAGAGAGATTAGTTGACTTAGGACTTGTGGTGCCAAGACTGAAGCTCAGAATCTCAAGCATGCTGGCCAAGAGTCCTACTACTTAGCTACATCCTGTTGATCTTAAGTATCATGGTTGGCCTTGTGTTTTTTATTTACTTTTTAAATATAGTATGATATTTTTAAATTTATTTAACTTTATTTCATGTGCATTGGTATAATGATGTCAGATTCTCTTGACCTGGAGTTACAGACAGCTGCGAGCTGCCATGTGGGTGCTGAGAATTGAACCTGGGTCCTCCGGAGGAAAATTCAGTGCTCTTAACCACTGAGCCATCTCACCAGCCCCATGGCTTTGTTTTTATAACTATTTAAATGGCTGCTTTTTAAATCATATTTCAAATAACATAATTTTATGTCATTTCCAGCTGTCACTGTTGCATCATGTGAATATGCATTAGACAGTTTAGTCGATCTGTTCTTGGATGTTTAGGTAGTTTCTGGTTCTTCACTGAAGACATATCTGTAGATGAGTTTTGCACATTTCCCAGACAAATCCCTAGAAAGTCTCTGTGAGTCCATGAAGGCTAAAATAACCTGCTAAGATGCATCTCAGCTTCCTGTTTGCCCCCGTGCAACTCTTGGGTATGGTAGGGTGAAAGTGAGGGGGTCACAACATCACAACACTCTTAGAGAGTGTCTCCCAAGCTCAACCCTCACTTTAGAACAATGGAACTGAGAGGTAGAAAAGGTATTTGCCCAAGGACACCCAGCCAAGCACTGAGGGGCGCATTACTACTGGCCATGGTGGCACACCCCTGCAGGCACAGCACTTGGGAGGCAAAGGCAAGCAGAGTGTGAGTTCATGACCAGCCTGGGCCACACACAGGTAAGACATCATCTCCAAAAGAATTTTTTTTTCTGTATTATGGAAATCAGTATTATGGTTCCTCAGTGACAGAAGCTAGAACAATATTACCCAGTTATGCCGCTCCTTGCTATGTAGCTGGAGGAATCAAGGCACACAGCAGAAGTGTGTGCACGGTCCTCACTGCTACATGCTCACAACAGCCAGGGCAGGCTGCATGCTCACAACAGCCAGGGCAGGCTGCATGCTCACAACAGCCAGGACTGGTTTCCATCAGCAGATGAGTAGACAAAATGTGGTACATACAGTGGAGTTCTAGTCACCATCAAGAAGAATGAAATCGTCACCTTTGTAGGCAGATGGATGGAGTTAGAGATAATTGGTCAATTAGGGAGACTTGGGAAGATAAACACTGCATGTGTTTCATGTTGCACATATGAATGTGTAACCTAGATTTAAATATACGTGTGGTGCATGTATGTGGCATGAGAATAAATGGGGGATAGTATGGGGAATGATTTTTGATTCCTAGAACCCACATAGTGTGAGAAGAAAACTAATGTCCAGAAGTTTCTCTCTCTCTCTCTCTCTCTCTCTCTCTCTCTCTCTCTCTCTCACACACACACACACACACACACACAGCAATCAATAAGTAGATAAATGAATTAAAAGTCAAAAACAATAAATTTATATGTTACCTGTGACCATATGACAGTAAAATAAAAAACAGTTCATTAAAATTAGATACATGGGAAAGTAAAGAAAATTAAAGAGTCTCAAATGTAGCTATCAAAATAATTTTAAGAGAAAGCTTTGTAATAAAATATGCATATTATTTTGTAGATATGTATGATTGTCAATGAAGTATTGTGCAATGAGCACAGTGTTTCAGTATCTCTGCACCAGCCATGATGATATGACAGTGTGTATGATTTTTTTATCACAGGGACTGTTGATGTCATTTATTAATATCAGGGAAAAGTTAAGAGAGATGAAAACGTAATTGGTTTCCATATATGTCCACAATGACCCTGTCTTCTGTTGGGACTCTGGGTCCAAAACTGTTCCTTGTGAGTTCTTGTGGGAGTGAGGCCTTCAGCAGGTGCCCAAGGGAGTCTGGCTCTGGACAGTAGATGCGAGTCATGCAATATGACCTGAGAAGTGTTCAGACAAGGCTGGCAGAGCCCCATGGCTTGTCAGTTACATAGACTGTGAAAGTCAGCACAGCCAAGGTGCTCAGATCCATGCGCCTCCTGCCTCCCAGGTGCTGTCACTGAAAGAAAGAGGCCAGATGGTGACAACAGAGATGGCAGATACCTTGCCGCAGGGAAGCCGATGCCACACGGCTGTGGGTAGTTTCATAGCCACCCCGTAGTCTCCTAGGTAGATTGGGGCACAAGGGAGGTGATGAGTGTTCCGTGATGCCTTTGAGTGGCAGGAAGCCAATGGGAACAGCTTGGCAGCAGCCCATGAATTCAGGGAGGCTCATAGGGTATTCTGGGAGACTCACAGTGTGTCCTGAAAGACTCGTGGGGTGTCCTGGAGGCTCGAGGGTGTCCGGAAAGGTTCCCCAAGAATTGCTGAATGACACTGTAGTCTCCTCTTTCCACCTGGAAAAAAAAAGTAAGATATGCTCCATTTGGGGAACTGGGGGCACAGAGAATAAGCCAGACATTACTAATAATGTCTCCATCCATTGGAGTTTTGATGAACAAAACTCTGGTCATAACTATGTCTAGACTTACTTTTTTTCATATACATCATGTAAACTGACTGCTATAATAGGTTTTCCCCCTTAAGGATGACAACAAAAGTCTGGAGCGGTAGGTGCCTTAGTGGTTAGGAGCACTTTCTGCTCTTCCAAAGGACCAGAGTAAGTTTCTCGGTACCCAAACTGAGTGACTCACACTTGCCTGTAATTCCAGCTCCAAGGGACCCAACATCCTCTTCTGGTCCCCAAATTCACATACATATAAATAAATGTTTAGAAAAGAAAAAGTGTTTTAAATAACCACATCAAAAGTTGAGGGTGCAGCTCAGTGGGGGGACACTTGCCTCGTCAGCCTGATGTCCCCAGCTCCAGACCCAATGCTGGGGAACAGAGGACAGGAGTTACATCGAGCGCATTATACCATGGACTTAGGCTAACTTACAAAATGCCTTCTTGAGCCAACAGGTAAACTCCCCAGCCACGAATCCCCAGGAGCTCCTGAAGCCGGTTCCCCAGCAGGACCAGCCGCAGCTTCTCCTCAAGAAAAGGTCAGGACAGAAGCACAAGCCGAGTCAGGGTACCCAGGAGAGGCTCCCATGGTGCACACCCCTTCAGACCCGCAATCTGACAGCCAAGTCAGTGTACCCACCACCATGGTAACAGGAGAAAATTGGTCCAACCATGTGAGCCTTGGTCTTGCCACCCGCCCGAGGAGGAGGAGGAGGGGGAGGAGGAGGAGGAAGAAGAAGAATAAGGGGTTGCCATGAGTAGGAGAGGCATGGCCTGGGAGGAGTGCTTGGCAAGGGGTAGCCAGCCATCAGTCCACCAGGACCCAGGAGTTGTGACAAGAGTATTAACATCTGTTGTCCTAGAGAAGATTCCGGAGATACTTGGACAAGATTGGACAGCCTCCCACATGGCTGCATGAGCGGCAAATGCCTACAACACTAGCTAAATCCCAATCTCATGTCCATTATCTACGGTACAGAGATCCAGTGGGGACTGCTTATCTCTGGATGCATGCTCTGGTCTCTCATTAATCATACAACGAGGTGGCAGAGTTTCTGGTCGGCACCTCCTGCCGCCCACCTCAGACTCAGCCTGGCCAGGCCAGGGGACAGGACAGTGTGAGTGGGGCATCCATGTCTGCCATCCAGGGGCCACCAAATCTTTGGGTTGAAGGACACCAAGATCCCGTGTCAGAGGTCTGAAATGAAACTTTTTAAAAAAGATACCAGGAAACAGGAGAGATGTCCCGGAGGTTAAGAGAACTTGCTGCTCTTAAAGAGGACACGGGTTTGGTCCCCAGTACTCACACGGCAGCTCACAACAATCTCTAACTCTAGTCAAGGGAATCTAATGCCTTCTTTTGATCTCCAAGGACAACACCCATGCATGCAATGAACGTTCATACATTCAGGCAAAATACTCATACAAAAAATAAAAAATAAAATAATAAATAAAAGTAAGATGTTAGAGGCAGGCAATATGGCTCAGTGGGGATAGGCTCTGCCACAGCACCTATGACAACTTGATTTAGATCTAAGGACCCACATAGTGGAGAGAGAGGATCGCCTCCTGCAGATCAGCTCAGCCCTTCACATGCATGCTGTGGTACACACACACACACACACACACACACACACACACACACACACAGTCCTGCAGATCACCTCAGCCCTTCACATGCATGCTGTGATACACACACACTCACACACACTCACCTCCTACAGATCAACTCAGCCCTTCACATAATGCTGTGGTGTACACACACCCACACCCACATACACACTCACCTCCTGCAGATCAGATCAGCCCTTCACATGCATGCTGTGGTACACACACACACACATACACACACACACACACACACACACACACACACACACACACGGGCACACACATTTTTTTAAAGGTGTCAGACAGTGCCAGTAGAAGCCTGAGGGAAATGTCACACAAACCCTAGGCGAGGGACATTGTACAAAATACCTGGCCAGCACAACTCCAAAGTGACAAGGTCATAAAACACACAGAGTCTGTGAGTCTTGAGGCCTAGCAGAGAGAGTCAAGATGTGACAGCTCCAGATGCCATAGTGTCCTGGGTGGGGCGCTGCAGCTGGAAGAGGCCTGGAGGATATGCCCTTGAGTTAGGGGAGAGCCAGCGGGGGAAGTGCAGCCCTGGACTGGCCACTGTGGAAATGGACAGGAGGGACGGGGAACTGTCTGTATTGTCTCTGCTAGGCTCCTGAAGGTATCTAAAACTCCATACTCTTGGGGCTGAAGAGAGGCTCAGCCGTTAGGAGCGCTGGCTGCTCTTGCAGCCAATGGGGCTTGCTTCCCAGGCCTTTCACAACCCTACTTGTAACGCCAGCTCCAGGGGGTCCCACACTTCTGGCTTCTGTGGGCACGCACAGACACGTGCCTATACATAATCACAAATAAATATTTTTAACTTAAAAAAATCTTATCTAGAAAACAAAAGGGCCTTCCATAAGGCCCACTTCTGGTTGACGCTCCACCAGGCCTCCGGGACACATGCCTGGCCTGGGTGGCAGCGTTTCCCCTGGCATTCTGCTTCCAGAAACAGTGCCCACTCACACACACAGGGCAGCAACTGGGGGGCGGGGCTTTTGTTTGGACATCTGAATTTTTTTTAAAAATAAGCAAATTTGTGAAAGAATAAAACCAGTAAGTTGCACTTTATTAAGATTTTTAAAGATACTTTTTGCCTTGAGAGACGGCTGCGCAGGTAAAAGCGTTTCCTGCCCGGTCCTGGGGCGGGAACCCGGGTGGCAGCAGCCACTTCGGGCTGCTCACAAGTACCATGCCATCTACTGACTTCCACAGGCATCCTTGAACTTACATGTTCACATATACACTCATACAAACACACACACACACACACACACAATTAGTAAAATAAAAATAAAAGGACTTTGTTAAGAAAAAAAAGTGCACAAACAGAGGAATTTTGTAAAGCACACATTTTATAAAAGACTTGTACCCAAAATATAAGCAGGACACTTTATGTGCAATGATAAAAAAAATGGATGGTCCAGCCAGCTTTAAGAAACAGAGCAACAACAAACATCCGGGCTCCATAGTGAGGCCTGTCTCATAGATTAATTAATAGGGCTGGGCTGGGTGCTGCGCACCTTTAATCCCAGAGGCAGGAAGATCTGGATGGTGACATCCCTGGGTTAGGGAACAGCTTGGGAACGGAGTCCCCTTCCTCCTGACTTCACACTATGTCATCCTCCTGCCTGAGGTGCATGAGGAGATAGACCTGGTAGCTGGTCTCTTCAGGAACCGCTGGCCGCCTCTGGCTGCCTGATGTGGTCAAATCCTTCTGCCCTGCTCCCTGGTGCCTCGGTCCCACTCTGCTGCTCTCTCCCGGCCCACAGCCTGGCACTTGTGAACTTTCCCTGGCCTAAAGGGCCCTTTGAGAGCCAGTGGCTTATTCCCCCAGATTCATTAGTGCTTCCAAACTGCCCTTGACCTGCTGTGAAGGTGGTACCTGCAGTTGGAAGCCCCTCCTTCTCTTTCCTGAGCTTGCTCCAGCCACTCTTGAGGCGGCTGGTCTCCCAAGAAGGATATGCAGAGTCTGCCACCTTCTGGCTGTCTCCGGTCCTGCAGCACCCCATGTCAGACCCAGCACAGAGGAGCTCCTTTCTCCCTCCCTGGGGTTACACAGAGAAACTTTAGCCAGCTGGGGAATGAGCACGGTGGTGTGAGTAGGATTTAGGAACGACACCTTCTGGCTTCCCTTACTGTTTATTTATCCTGAGCCTGTGGAGACAGCCCATGGGAAGGAGTGGGAGAGCCAAAGGTTGGCTCTAGGCAACTAGCCAAACTCATATATGGGAAAGCAAGCTCTGGGCCTAAGCAAGAGGTTGGGTAGATGACAGTACACTTACTACAGCATCCCACCTGCCTATCTTGCTGACCCACCTCCCAGCCTGAGAGCCTCGAGCTGTAAAATGAAGGTTCTGATCATGTGACTTCTTAAGTCCCTTTTGCCTCTGACACGGTTCTTTGTGGGACCGTCCCAAACTGTGGAAGAGGCTCCAGAGTCCATATAGGAGATTGTATTGCAGTGAGGCCTAGAGAGACAGGAGACATAAAGATAGCTTTCCTGTCCCTCACAAGAGGAATGCGGGGTGCTGCAGCCAAAAGTGCGGGGCAAGGAGCACACAGCTCGCGGTAATGCTGAATGGGCCTAACACACCTGGCGAACTGCCAGTTGTCACCCCATGATGAGCATGCAGTGGTCATCAGAGGCCGTCCAGGGACAGCAGTGTGGTCAGGGAAGACAGCAGAAGCTGGTCAGTGGAACAAGGAGGCTGGGAGTAAAGGTAGAAGGCTCGCAGATGTGTGAGCTTCCAGCTCTGCTATTTACCCCCATCTCTAGCACATCTGTAAGATGGGTGATGGCGTCCTTCTCTGACACTGAGAGGCTTATGTTTGAATTTTTCATGCTGTGACAAAATGCTCAAGACAAGCAACTTGATGGAAGAAAGGTTTATTTTGACCCTGGTTTCCAGAGCTTTCCGTCCAATCTTCCTTCAGCCAGATGTTTGCTCCAACAATGGAAATCACCATGTAGCCTTCCAAGATGGGGGGTGAGGGGGAATAAAAATCACCATGTAGCCTTCCAAGATAGCGGTGGGGGTTGGGGGAGGCAGATTGCCAGTGCAGTCTTCTCAGGTTGTTGTTACAAAATGCCAGAGTCTGAGTGGCTCATTGGTTGGCAGGTTGGTTGGTGGTTGGTTTTCCTGGTATTGAGGCACACCCAGGAACCTGTGTATGCCAGGTGAGCCTTCAGCCTCTGTGCTGAGTTCCACACTCTTTTGTCTTTCTGTGTTTGTCACAGTTCTCAAGGCCGGGAAGCTAAAGATGGAGTCAGCAGTCTGGATATCTGGTAAGGGGCCTGCTCCCCACCCCACCCCCACCCCCAGCGCCCAGCGGCAGGGTCAGGAAGTACTCATGCTGCTAAACCCCATCTTGAGGAGTTTGCCTCGTGACGTCATCACCTCCCAAGGACTCTGTCTCCACCACTTTAGGGGCTGGGTTCAGCCTATGGTTTCTGTAGCACAGAGATGTAGAGCTTGCTGCGGGCTCCCTCCCTTGCAGAGTCCAGAGAGAGTGCTCTAGTCTGTCTTCCTCTGGCAAGGGCACTAGGCCCATTCTGAGGGCTCCACCTACAAGATGTCATCAAGTCTGGTCACCTCTCCAAGGCCCACCCCCAAATGTCATCACTCTGGGAATTAGGGCTTCAGCATGGGAATCTGGAGAGGACATACATGCCCTGAGTCTCTCCTACACATTTCCTCCTGACTTCTGACTTTTGTTGGTTTGTTTTAGCTGCGACAGGGATGCCAGAAGAATCCTCCCCTCCCCTTGCCCCAGTCAGCACAGCCAAGAGCCCAGTAGCTCCAGGACCCAGCTACAAGACAGGTATGGCCTCCTCCCCTAATACTGTGACAGCCGCTACATTGAACAGCGTGAGCCCTAAATTCTGTGTCCCCAACAATCTAAGGGGTCCCTGAGGATCCAATTGCTATAGACAGAAGCTGGGACTGACGCCCCCAAATCTTCTCTTGTGTGCTGACTCGCTAAACTGGAGGAATTTTCCCCAAGGCTCTGAGACCCTCCATCTTCTGATGTGTGTGTAAGATGCTCCAGGGGTGCTGGCACCCTTTAGTCTCAGCACTTGGGGGACAGAGGCAGATGGTCTCTGTGAGTTCAAGGTCAGTCTTATCTACATAGTAGGAATTTGTAAAAATTAATTAATTAATTAACTAATTATTAAATAAGTCAGTTTGGGCAGTTCTCCACAGAACTGACTAGCCTCCCTAGGAGGTTGCGGTCCTGCCTAGGGCCACATGTCGCCTTTTCCCGACCTGTTTTCTCATCCCAGACTTACTCAGACTAGTTTCTCCTTTGGCACTCAACATAGATTTGGCATCCTGATGATGTCTCCCTGTACCCAGGAACTGATGACAAGGTGTAGCTTTTAGCCCCAGAAGCAGAGACTGCTATTCTTTCAGAACACAACCATATTTAGCCAAAGTGCCACTGTTAATAAACTACATTTCCCAGCATCCTCTGCAGCCATGAGGCCAATAAAATTTGTAAACAGAAGAGTTGCGTGAACTTTGCAGAAATTCTCCTGATAAAGGGAAGGATACTGGCCCCTCCCCTCCTTCGGCACCAGTCTCATGCCTAGCAGAATTGGACTGTCTGAGGGTGGGTCTGGGGCAGCTGCAGGGAGAAGCAGCAGCTGGAGCCAAGGACCCAAGAATGGAAGGAATTGGTTTATTGAAGTAGCAGAAAGAAAGCTGGGAAGAGAACCAGAGTCAGAACACAGGGAAGCCAGGAAGTCTTGGGGCCGGGCATGAATTCTGTTCTGGGAGAGATAGGAAGGGGGGATTTAGTAGCACAGTGAAAGAACTGGTGTGGCCTTCACACAGAGGAAGTGGAAAGCTGGAAGGTCAGATGAAAACCAATGACCAAAGCAGAAAGGAAGGCCAACTCAGTGGGTAAAGGAGCATGCTACACAAGTGTGATGGCCTGAGCTCATCCCAGACCCCACAGTAGCAGAGAACCATTGGCCACAAGTTATGCTCTGATGACATGTGTGCATGCATGACACACACGCACAGACACATACAGAGAGAAAAATAGACACACGGAGAGACAGACAGACAGACAGACAGAAAGATACACACAGAGAGACAGACAGATAGACAGAAACCCACATAGAGAAAGAGAGACAGACAGACAGACAGAAAGAGACAGAGATAGACACACACACACATAGACATACACACAGACACATGGAGAAATACAGACATACACACACACTGAGACACACAGACATACACATAGAGACAGACAGACACACACATACACAGAGAGACACACGCACACACACACACATTTTAATCTTTAAAAATCAAAATTAAGTAAGATAGGAAATCACTTTGGAAAAGCAACATCCAGGAATACTGTGCAGTGACTTTTAAAATTGTGACTTGTGTTTGTCCTTAGTAACTGCGAAAGGCCGATGTCATCCATCCCTCTCACTGGAGACAGCCAGACAGATTCTGACATCCTGGCATTCATCAAGGCCAGGCAGAACATTCTGCAGAAGAAATGTAAGAACATCCCCTGGAAACCCGCCAAGGCCCGGCTATCCCTGCTCTTCTCTCCCACACTGGGAGGGAGCCGGAAGCTGCAAAGGAAGGAGGGAGCCGCAGCAGTAGTCTGGGTCGCCTCATGTGAGCTGAGCCCTGCTTCTCCAAGTCCGGGGCAGATGTGTGGGCCGCTGGCTTGGGGGCTCCTGCTGCTCCTGGCCAGACTCTGTCTCCCTTTTCCAGACCTTGGTTGTTCTCTGTCCCCTGAAGACATCTCTCGCTCTCTGACCAGTGTTCTCTAAACAGGAAGGAGTTGAGGGTGGTTTGGTATTCACTGAAACCCTGGCTAGAATCTTCACTCTCCTTGAAGCATAGTTCTTGCCAAGGAGCTATTAATGTAAACACCACTTGAAGGCCCAGGAGTGGGGACACTGTGTCAGCCATGAAGGAAATACCTGTCCCATAGCAGGAAGAGCAGAAGGCCTGACTTTCCTCACTGGCCTGCTCACTTGGCAGCTAGCCATGCTGTGGACAAGCCTTTTCCAGTCCCAGACAGTCACAGGAACAAGGCCAGACCCCTACCCTACACTTGCACTTTGTCCTTGCCTCGTCCCAATAGTTCAGACTTGGCAGTGCCTTGGCTTATCAAAGGCTGCCCCCTGATGACATGCCTGTCTGCCTGTGCTCCATTGCTCGAATGAACTATGGAGCCTGGGAGGCTTAGTAAAGAAGAGTGATTCATTTAACCCAATTCTGGGGTTTCAGGGACACACGAAGTAGTTGCAGCAGCTCTCCTCTGCTCAGAACCCCATGGCGGATGGGAGTAAGAGGGAGGGGTCACAAGGTGAGACAGAATTCCAGAGAGGAATTCAGGGCTCACGCTTCTGCAGTGACCTGAGGACCACCCAGTAGACCCCACCTCCTAAAGGTCCCACCTGCTAGCCTTGTCACAAACACAAACCACACACAGCATAAACGGAGGAAGGGGTCATGTGGCTGACCCTTGCCTGGGTGGATGCCATGCTCGGTCTCTCCACCACCTGCCTGCAGCTTAGAAGGAATCAGTTTGCCCGTGGGTGGGCACTGGAGCTGAAGGAAACTGTCATCCTCACATCAGAGACCCAGACTGTCACTGGAGGCCCACTGTGTGAGCGCCAGGACAGCAGCATGGGCCCACCACGCGGTACAAGTGGCGAAGTGCCTTCTTATGCTGGGCCAGGCATGTGTGGGGAGGGCAGGAGGAAGACAGCAGAGATATAGGCAGCTCCCCTGGGAGGGCAGCTGTGCAGAGGAGAGAGCTGGGAACCACTGAAGAAAAGTGGTGGAGACTGAAGATGAGGTTGTCTGTGGACAGAAATGCTGCTAAACTGAAGCTGAAATGCACGGTGATGGGGGGAGGGAGGCGTGCCCTTCGCCTTTCCGTCACTAGGACCTGAACAGACAGCTCTAAGAAAAAGTGTTCTCTTTGGGCTCATGGTGTCAAAACCGCCAGGCTATGGTGGCAGGAAGGACAGAGAAGGGCTCACAGGATGGAGCCAGGAAGGCTTGCTCGGTTCCCCTTTTATCCTGTCTGGACCCCTAGCTACTGTATGGAGCCACCTCCATTCAGGGTGGCTCTTCCCTGCTTGTTAATCCTCTCGGTAAATGCCACATCCAGAAATGTGATTTTTCTGACTTCTTAGGCACTTTCAGTCCAATCAAGTTGACCACCAAAGTTAACCGCCATGGGGGGGAGAGGTGCAGAAACTTCCCTGAGGAAGTGAGAGGAGGTGATGTGCAGTGGACATGAGGGGAAGAAAGGGCCCTGGGCAGTCCTCCCCATAACACACTGCAGGAGTCAAGCAACACCTCCCCAGATCCCACAAGGAAGCAGCACCCCCTCAGCCCACAAGGAAGCAGCCCTCCCCCCCCCAGAGCCCACAAGGAAGCAGCACCCCCTCAGAGCCCACAAGGAAGCAGCACCCCTTCAGATCCCACAAGGAAGCAGCAGCATCCCCCCAGCCAGAGCCCACAAGAAAGCAGCCCTCCCCCCCCAGAGCCCACAAGGAAGCAGTATTTTTAAGTTGTGCTGCAACCACCTTTGTAATAAGAGAAATGCCACTCAATTCTCGTGGAAGACGAGATGTGAGCCCAAGGTTGGTGTCAGCGTGGTCTTTCCTGCTGGTACTGTCCAGAGAACCACAAGCCAGGGCACTTCACTTTTTCTTTTGTTTTGTTTTGTTTTGTTTTTTGAGACAGGGTTTCTCTGTGTAGCTCTGGTCCTCGTTTTGTAAACCATGCTGGCCCTGAACTCAGAGGCCTGCCTGCCTCTGCCCCCCTAGTGTTGGAGTGAAGGTGTGTGCCACTACCACCTGGCGGGTGCACTTTACTTAAGACATTAATCAGGGCTGGGGAGATATCCCCATAGGTAATGTTTGCTGCACAGACAAAAGGACCCAAGTTTCATCCCCAGAACCAATATAAACAGCTGGGCGTGGACACACATTCATAACCCCAGTGCTAGGGAAGCAGAGACAGACAGGCCGCTTCCTGGTCTCTCTGGCCAGCCTAGGTGGGAAACCCTGTCTCATAAAGCAAGGTGGGACCAGTGAGGTGGTTCAGCAGGTAAAGGTGCTTATTGCCAAGCCTGAAGGCTTTGATCCCCAGTTCCCATGGTGAACAGCGACAACCAGGCCCCCCACCCCGCAAGTTGTCCTCTGAGTGCCACACGCAGGCCACAGCACACACTCTAAGTTCATTAATTAACCAAAAATTAGATGGATGCCAGCCAAGCAACAATGCTGAAGATTAAACTCTGGCCTCCATATGCACACATGTGCACCAGCACACAGCTCACATATACTCATGCACACATGAACACACTTACACAGAGGCTAGTCAGAACTGTCGAAGTTTTCCATTTAGTACTGCATTTTGTGTTCCTGACTTGCTAGAAGACAAAGAGGCACGATCTGGACCCTTTTTCTGACAAGTGAGGGTTCTGAGGCTCGCTGCCCTTGAAGACGCTGCCCAAGGTTAGACAGCCAAGGAAGCCCGTGTTCTGCTCTCTTCACTGAGTCACACGGTCTCGAAAGCCACAGCCAGCAAGGACTGCCTCCTTTGCTGTGCCTCTTGGCCTGAGGGTCCGGGGAACCAGGATGGATTGGAAGGCAGAGCTAAGCTTGCCCAGCTGGGAGTGCTGTTCTCCAAACAGTCAGAAACCTGGGAGTAATTCATCAAATCACACACCACACTCAAGTCTCACAATCCAGTTGCTATTCCCAAAGGGGGGAAAAAGCCTCCTGGTTTTTTAGTGACCATGCAGACTTGAGGGAAGCCATGGAGAGGGGGACATGGGGCCACCCCCTCCCCCCAGGTCAGAGCCAAAGGCCAGCAGACTTAACCTGTCTAGACACAGCAGATGGCCCAGGGCCCACTGTGTAGCCTTGTGTGTGAAGCCCACTTCTCAGGCCCGCTGTCAGGCAAACAGCAGGCAGGCCAGCACCGTCCCAGCCAAAGCAAGCACCCTGCCCTGCCTGGGGCTCCCTGATCTTCATTTAGGTCGCTGCCCTATCAGGGCTTCTTCCCGGCACTCATTACTGGAATTTGTGATTTCAGTGGCAATAGGAGCCCAAAGCGGGCAATTTAACATAAGGCTCCCTCTTCTGAGAATGCCCAAGATCCAGCATGAATCGGCTTGATTTAAGATCCAGGAAAATGCCAGCAAATGTTTAAATCCCTGCTAGGGGCCCCTGCAGACAGGTATATGCGCCCCATAGGGGCATTAGTCATCCGTGGAGTCAAAGCCGCCCTTCTGCTGCCAAGCATGAGTTGAGCAGCTGAGGAAGTGGGGTTAGCTCCTTTCTGCAGCCCCTTTTATAATCCTCTTCAATCTTCTAATTTGGAAGTGTTAACATTCAAATGTCCCTTGGAGCAACCCCATAACCACAAGTCCTCCTTCTCCAAGAAGTGCCAGGGAAAGGCCCTACCAAGGAGCCTTGAACTCCTGCTTGGGAGCCCTTCCAGGGGTCAGAGAGGGAGGGACTGGGGTGGGGGAGAAGGGGGCGGGGAGAACACACTAGCTCTCAGAGGTTTAGGAAGAACAAGGTCTCAAAGGAAGCCATCTCTGACAATGTCACGCTGTGATCTGTGTGTCACCCTCACCTGTCAGTGACTCTCTTCAGAGATAAAGTCTCTGGTACGTACTGAGCGCCAGAGTTGGCAGCAGGGCAGGTGGCCCTGATGATGAGACCTGGTCCCATTTAGTGAGGCCTGTGCTGTCAGCGTCTGTTCCTGGACTGCCATCACCCCTGCTACTCCAGCTCTGCCGCTCAGCTGGGACACAGTGTGCGCAGCAGAAATGGTACCAGAAGGCTGTGTGATGAGCCCTTCGTGAGAGGAGCCTTATCAAGTGGTGTGCTCAGCTCTGCTGGGTGGTGTCCTTCCTCAGCCCTTCTGGCGTGGCTGCTTTCTGATCTGGGGAGTTAAGACTTTGGAGGAGGGAGCTGCCTCAGACCCCCTTCCGGCTTCCAGGAGCAGCATTAAGTAATCCTAGCCCAGGCTTCTCCTCAGCAATGTAGAGGACCCGAGGTGGTCGCAGCTCTCACCCCACTTGTCCTTGGCCTGGAAAGATGAAACTAGGAAGTTCAGCCCTGTCTGTGTACTAGAATTACCAGGCCACCTGCAGAGATTCCCATGGGGGTCTGCGGTGTGGCCTGTGGAGTCCAAAAGGCCTTGGAGCTGAGCACACAACTTTTGTAAGCTAGGATGTGTCCTGAGTTCCTTCCTGTCCTGGAGTTGGTTTGGGACAGGTCTGAATATGTGAGGGAGCGGGTGAGACGGCTCAGCTGGTGAGGGTCCAGCCCTGGTGGCCTGAGGTGCATTGCCAGCATCTGTGTGGTAAAAGGAAAAAATAAAATACAACTGTGGCCACAAATTGTCCGTGTCCTCTACACAGACGCCATGACATACAGGCACACAAGCACACATACGCTGTGAATAATACAAAAATAAATAAATATTTTGAAAGAGTATGTTAAAATGGGAACATCTCTGCTGAATTTCACAGTGTGGTTCACACACAGTGCTGGCCCTGCAGGACTGTAGGCACGAGTCCTGCAGCCCACATCCGGTGGGCTGTTCTCACCCATTCTGCCATGGTAGTACCACATAGACGGAGCCCACCTTCCTCACTCCCAGCCAGGCTCTACAATTCCCTTCCAGCTGGCTGCAGCTTCATCTTCACCATGCTCTTCCCAATCTTACCCCTCAACCTCCCTGCCCACTGAAACGGTTTCAGATGCTGTGCTCAGCACTTCACCCAGAAGATCTCAGCAGTTCCCTCTTGCACCTACCTTCTTGTCCAAACTCCAGGCAGATGAACTAGGACCTCACACCACACTTACACTTTCATATGCATGGATGGAAGGATCCAGTCAAACACAGACGTAAGGCTGTGTGCCTAGGGTGGAACCCAAGGCTGCATCCTTTTAAAGACTTGTTTTAAACTCTCTGTGTGTATGTGTATGAGAGAGAGAGGGAGAGAGGGGGAGGGAAGGAGGGAGGGAGGGAGAGAGAGAGAGAGAGAGGAGAGAGAGAGAGGGAGAGAGAGGGGGAGAGAGAGAGAGAGAAGCACCAGTGCAAACCATGTGGTTGGCATGAGTGTGGTCTGAGGAATGAAACCTTAGCAAAGAGCAAGGGGAGTATCTACTTTTTCCTTTGCAGAGCCTGGGAGAAGGGATTCACAGAAGAGGGTTGGCCAGTCTCCCCCCCCCTCCACGGTGCCTGTCAGTCCTGAGAAAAGTCCCCACCCCAAGCTAACCAGCATCCTGTCTTTTTTCAGGCCTGGGAAGCAACTGACTTTCTGATGAAGTCCAACCCTGCCCTGCAGACAGAATGACTGGTGTGAAGACAAAGACCCTGCCCCTCACTAGTGACCTGGATATGACATAAAGCCACCCCAGAGCAGCTGGCACATTTGAGACCAGAGCTGTCCTTTGAGGACGGTGTCTGGGAGAGCACCAGAGAGGACCTGTATGGCTGTTGGAAGGGTGGTAGTGCCAAGAAGCTGGGGGCAAGGCTGGGTTGCTGCTCACCCTAGCGATGGTGCAATACACCATCATAATGTACAGTGGGGGACACTCCAGGTGGGGCAACCCAGGAGGATAATAACCCATTATTTATAACTTGCCAGTCACCACTCTAGTCTACTCCTGGCTCAGAAGCTCAGGAATGGCATGGCAGGCCAGGCAGGACTTGGGAGCACCAGATGAGACAGTAGAATGTAGGGGACCTCAAGGGCTAGTGCCCCAGCCCAGACCCTCCACCTCACCCACTGGTTGTCTCCAGGGAGTTATGAATCCTTACATTCTGAGCACCTCACAGTAAGTACCAGAGAACAGTGGGATGCCCCCAGAGCTCTGCAGGCATCAGTACCCTGAGCCATTACCCCCACCAAGCTGTGTGGGACTCTACAAAATTAAGACCAAACTCCCTGTCCCCATAAGGAGAACACAGCTGCTTGGTGGCTGTGCCTCGGTGACACTCTCATCATTCCAGAACCTGGCTCTGTGACGTGGACTAAGCAGACATGAAAGGAGTGAAAATGGCCAGCAGCAGCCCATGTTGTGTCCCCAGCCCAGCTACAGTTGGTAGGGCCAAGGAG